TGCCAGATCCCAAGGGAAATGGAGACTGATCCCTTCTGGCCACCACACTGCAGAACACTCTGACTTCATTAATCATCCGGATTTTTTTCAGTTATTAAGCAGTATCAATCCTCCTTCAATTATAATATTTTTCAGATGGTCAAGAAAATGGATCAGCTGAACAGAAACAACAACCCAGGTCCCACAGTTTTTGGGACTGGGAAGATAAACAGACATCTCTTACATAGCAGGAACATGCTATTTGTGGGCACAAGAGGACTTTGATAAACTTTGGCACCAAATATGAGAGCACAAATGCACTGCGAGATGGCAAGTGAGAGCCATCAGCAGCTTGACCTGATCTGGGTACAACAAATAGAAACAGATTTTTGCCATCAATCTCCACCTTGGTCCATGTTGTGCTTGTTCATCAATGCTAGAGAGGCCTTGGGGCCTGGGCAGGTGGGCCTGGGGCAGAAGGGCCAGGGCAGCACTCAGCCATGGCACCTTCAGAGCCACTACATGATGTGCTTGTAGCGCTTGCCAGAACCACATCAGTGAGAGGACAGTTTGGTCTTGTTTAATCATCGCAGCTCTCCCTTTGGATCAGGGCACACTGGGCCTTCGTTCAAGGGAAGAGCCCGATAACGCCAGCAGAGTTTCTGGTCTTTGCAGTGGTGTCAGTGGAAATGAGATCGATTGTTGCTCTGTGACAGGTCTTTGCTTCACCTACTATGGGCCCAAGGAGCTCTCTCTCCGATATATTTCCAGATCTCTGTGTTTGCCAGGTAGATAAGGCAGGCCTGCGTATCTTTGCTTATCAAGCTCAGTGTTGCTCATCAGGGTGTGGATTTCAGATAATGTTTTCACAAGTTCTAATGGCTCCGAGCCATTTAAATTCTGCCTGTGTCAGATTTACTGCCTTTTTTCTTTCTTTTCACAACCTGAGCCCAGTCTTAAAGATGGATGTATCTACCTCACAGCAATGAACAGTGCTGAGCTTACTTTGGTCATGCTGTTACACGCACAGCAGGGTGCAAATAGGCAGCACCTAAAATCAAACTCTCCTCACTATACAGCAGCTCTAGCTGTCCACTCAGCCATATTCAAGTAAAGGTGTTCAAAATGGAAGCAGTGCAGAAAAAGGAGAATTGTTGGGGAAGCTGAGAGTGAAGCCTTGCTTAGCCTAAATGAGCAAAAGCCAAAAGGTGAGAGGATAGCTTTCTTTAAATATCACTGGAGGAAGAGGAATATCAGGGAATAAAAGGAGTTGCTCAGACTGAAAGATAGTTTTATCACAAGAGAAAAAAAAATGATAGAAACTGGTTCCAAATGTATCTTGGATGAAAATTATTTCTTTCTCTGCTGGAGCAATGAGGTTCTGGGACCAGCAAGTCTGTGAGGTATGGACTGAGGTGAACCACTCACTGCCTGTGCGATAGTAACATCCCTTCTGTCCTTAACTCCTTCTGACAATTTAGATCCAAGGAAACTGGGGTGGGAAGGAGAGGAAAGGACAAGAAGAATCTCTTCCATAAGTCAGCTAGGAAAAAAAGCCACCACGGTCCTCAAACAACAGAAATGAAACTACTCTATGATTTCTCCTTCAGACACCCACTCTTCCCAAAATCAAATATGCTGAAAGAGTAACATCAACTAATATGACTACTGATCCAGAACTCATTTAGCACTTACTGGGTTAAATATTTTTTCCTCTTAGTTACATTCATAATTTCAGAATTAATGTTTAATACAAAGTCTTTTTTCACCCCAAGAATAATAATCTTACCCAAAGATGCTCACTGCTGCTTCCAATCCTTCTGCCAACTTGAATTTGCCTTCATTTTTTGTAAATATTTGAAGGACAGCTATCTCACTGTAAATAAAACACAAGGCTTCCCCTGTTTGCCTTGGCTAGGATAATTGTGTTTTTGAACGTGGTTAATCCTCTGCTTTATGACTAAGTAATATCCTTAGTTTTAATCCTTCTGCTGATAAACAAATTTTTTTTTTTGCATTTGGAAGGACAACAGGAAGACACTGCCAAAAAATAGAAATATTCCGAAGAAGCATCTTCTGCAATTTCCCTCATTTTTTTTTTATCACTTCTACATTGCTTCTATTCATTTCTAAGACAAGTCTGTGTAATTCTGAAGTTGGCAAGGAATGTGCTTGAAAGGTCACAATATGTCTTGCTAAACTAGAGATGACTCTTGATTTACAGCCCTTCACTCACATTCCAGAAAAAGAGACTTGCACGGCTGGGAATTGGTCTTAAAAGTCAAGTCTGAAAGCTTACGTGTGTTCTTCCCTCTCTCCCCCATAGACTGACAATACCCTGACTGCTCAGGAGCTGTTGTGCTCTATCAGGAATTGTGAAGTTACTTGCAACATTGTGTTGGAAATATCCAAGTAATTTTGTCAGGACGGTATCTCTGATAAAAGCAGATTTTATTCATGATTGCAATGGCGGGCATCCCGCAAGCAGGAGCACACCTATGGACACAGCATGGCAGCCTTTATACCGTTCTCTCCCCCTTGCCACCCCCCTCCCCTGTTCCCCACTGGCTGGCACTCCAGGTTCACAATCTTATCAGAAGGTTTATATTTGCTATTTACTTGTTAATTTATTTGTTATCTGGTGTCAGTCAGTAGTCATCCTGTTGTTTCCAAGATGTCTCGGTGCTCTCCTTGTCCTGTTGATACAGTGATTTTCTTTAAAGTCTTCGTTAAACAAAGAGCACTGGGGGATGATGCCAGGCCTTCCAATGTCTCTTCAGGCGCTTCCTCAGGCAGACCATGGCTAGTTCTCTGGTTTGCTCTTGTGCACGATATTCTTGCAGTGTGTATGACAAAATATACATCTATACACCTATATACAGAGTATGCGTTCCTGGGAAGGTTCGTCTAGAGGATAAGTGATGTAAACTATCAGCGATCTTCCCCAAGTTAAGTAGAAGGACACCCAAAAAGAACTATGATAGCGGAGATCATGAAATAAAAATAATATTATACAATTTTAATGCAGAAACAACATTTGATTCCCACAATTGTTTTGCGGTGATCACTGCCTGCAGAAAACCACAACTAAGCAACCTACATCAACATTGCTGTGTTCATCAAACCACCCTAAATCCAACCACACAGAGAAGCCAGAGCTTTGCCCCATCAGTTACACTACGGCATAGCATTAGGGGCAAGTACTGTGGCCTGAAATCAGAGCAAAGTCCTGTGTAGACCAGGCTGATGGCTCTGCTCTCTGGGAGAAGTACAGCATCTGTGTGTGATGGAGAAGAACACAAGGGATCCAGATGAAATAACCATCTTTGGGACTTTGGGAAAGCTCTGGGTTTCAGACCTCAAACCACCCAGCCCTGTGTGGCCACCCCATGCTCCTCTAGCTTCAGCTGCTCAGGCCATGTAGACAAGTAGATATCATGAGCATCTTTTAAAGATGCTTCTTTGTGTGCCTCTCCGTATTATCTGTGAACAAGATCAAAACAGAGGCATTCTTAGGAGGTTGGAACTAGATGATCTTTGAAGTCCCTTCCAACCCAAGACATTCACATGAACTCCTGCCAGCCTCCAAAGCGTGCTAACCACTGCAGCTGCACACAGGGCTGTACCAAAATGTCATCACAGTCAGACTGTCTTTTTCTATGAACAACATATCTACACAGAGGTGAGCCCGGTTCATTTCTGAATGCTTACTGGGGAAGTTGTGCATCTGTATGCTGTTGACATGCTCAGCAATAGGAAGAGTCCCTAAGTGGCCAAAGAATGGGTAGGAGCCATTCACATGTGCAGAGTGGTATCTGTGCTTCTCACACTTACAGTGACCCTTTCCCTGCAGGCCCCAAGCTGGGGATATCACCTCCAAAATCTTTCCTAGGGCAGAGCACCTCTACTTCATTACAGAGTGGAAATTTAATGACTCTCTTTCTGATGGTTTATTGTACCGAGTGAGATTTAAAAAGTGTTCCTTGGAAGCTATCATCACATTATTAATACAGTTCAGGTGGGTAATTCGTTAGATCATTTCTGTCACTTCCTGTCACCTTTAATAGCTTTCTACTGCTCCAGACCTTTGCAGCTTGAACAGCCACAATCATCTGATCAGAGGTTTGAAAAAATGTAAGTGCATCTGATGGACATGCTGTGTTCAGCCTGTGATGAACTTTGGGGTCTTCTTAGCATTTGTTCTGCATTCTACATTCAGCAAATCCAGTAGTATATGTAGCCAATACCCACTGGGGTCATTCCCTACATCTACAAGTAGTTTCTTGGGCAGTTTTCCACCAAAAATTCTTCACATAAAATGTTATTGT